TTTTATTATTTTCAAACTATTTAAATTAAATCATATTGGATACAAACCTTTCTTATAATATTAAACTTTGTATTATGGGCATTTTTAAGTATGCACAAAGCAATTAGAATGATCCAATAAATTTTGCTTCAGCAATTAAGTTCAGCAACTTGCCAATCATTCATTTCCCCCTTTCACTTTTTTTCTTGCCATTTTTAAAACAAATCCCAGATATAACATTTCACATGTCAAAAAATTTTTGAAAACATGCACTTTATACTTGGAAACTATAGAAAATGCAAAGAAAGAAAGTGGCATATGCTAGGAAGTTTCTTGTCGTAAAGTGAGACAAGAAATAAAGACAGAATGTTCCATCCTGGAAGTCAGCTCCAAGAAAGGACAGGGCCAACAACCTAGAGTGATAAAGCTGTTGATACACTATTTCCCCCCACTGTGTCTGGTTTTCTTCTCTCCTAAAAGCCATACTTGCTCTCCATGAAGGGCTTTGTCTCATTTATTTAAAGTTATAAAAGAGTTATAAAAGTCATATAAAACAAGCTTTGCATTTAATCACTGAGGAGACACCCAAGTTAACTGTCAACAAGGCCCAGCTGAAAGGGATTGCCTGTGAAGAAGCTGGAAACTGAGTGTTGGGAAGATGGATCTGCTGCTCAGGGGAGGTCCCTTTTTCTTGTTATCAGTTGTAAACAGATAAGACTGGAGAGTGGAATTCTAACTTTATTTTGAGCTGCCAAAAATCCTGTGGGAATTGGGGACAACTTATCTTAGGGCTGGAGATGGCCCTACATCAGTGTCTTTAGCATTTCAAACAGTCCTTAAGGAAAATGCTCTGCAACAAATTAGATGTAAAGGAATTTCCTGACAGTGACTTTAAAGTAGGGCTTCTCAATGTGGGCATTCATTATGATCTCATGAGAAGCATGTAGAAACCCCATGTTCTACTCAAAATAGAGTTCAGTGTGCAGCCAATGGTCTCATAACTGGCTCAAGCACTTTTTTTTTTTTTTTTTAATGCTTTTCTTGTGTCTTAAGTGAGTGAAGGCTTATAGGACAGATACCATTTTTACATTTACCAGATCATTGTAATGATTACAATACCCCCCATGCACACTTTGCCAACAGTATTCACCTCTATTACCTTTTTTTGGTGTACACATACCACATTGTAAATCTATATTTGCTTTAAAAGGGCACATTTTGCAAGCCAGCCTCCTGTCTGCAAGCACGCTGTTTTTCTCATTGCCTGGGCCTATCATCCACTGCTGTTCCGTCTCTCTATGCTATCATTTCTGCCACCATCTCTGTTGCTGTCACTTTTCTGGTCAGGATCCCTTGCTCCTCTCATGTTCTTCCCTCTTGATGGTCCTAGGGTACCCTGTTCCTGAGATAACAGGTTAACTGCTCCCCTTTTTCATTGTACCTCTTCTACGCACCTTAAGGTCAGCGGTTCGAAACTACCAGCTGCTCCGCGGGAGAAAGATGAGGCTTTCTACTCCTGTAAGGATTTACACCCTCGGAAACCCTGTACAGGGTCGCTATGGGTCGGAACCGACTCGACGGCACTTAACAACAACAACAACTTCTACATTTACAGTAGTGACAATTGCCATTAGAGCTGAAAGCAATTACTTGCAATTGTATCATAAAGTCTTATCCCCCTTATTACCAGACCCATCTGGATAGGAGGGAAATTATTCAGTTGGGTTTCTGTCTTACTCCCCAAGTTCTGACACTAAGCACCCTCATGGAAGCTTGTAAGCCAGTCACTTTGTGCCTTTGTAGCCCCCAGTTTTGGTAGTAGAACTGTAAGTTGCCCATCCCTAACAGTCCAATGGACTGAGGAGACATGCCTTATCCTTGACATGGAGAATCCTTCCCTGTTTGGTTGGAATTTTGAGCAACTTCATCCATAATCAAGGGTCCAGTTAATCAGGTTGTAGCAGTTTATACTTGCTTCTTATATCACACTTCATCTTCATCTGATTGAATTCTGGTCAGCCATCCTTCCATTCTAGGTCCCATGTCTTCAAGTCCAGGAGTTTTCCCAAGCCTCCCCCTTCTTCAGATCTCATGGCTGCTTAATTTTTAACTTTAGCCCTCAATGGCAATGTCATTGTCTTTGGGATCAGGAATTCACATATCATCCTGAACTTCAAACCTGTCAGCCCATCCTTTTCTCTCTCTCATTCCAAGGTCATCGGGTGTCCATGGAACATGGCAAATCTCAGCCCATGTCTTCTTTCTTGCAATTCTCCTCTTCCACTCATAAGTCGACCAGGACAGTTGCCATTGAGTATACAGGACCAGTTGTGTATTCCCTTTGAGTTTCAGTCTTAAGAGTTTAACCTGATAAGTTGGCTTTTCTTGCCTTAATGGCTCCAGAGCAAACAGCTTGCTTGATAATGTCACAGTCAAACAGTCAGCTTTTTTTTTTTTTTTTTTAATTCTTCGTCTTCTTACCCCCCATCCCCACCCCTAAGCTGGTCTTTCTTGCAAGAAGTACCTTCTGTTCCTCTAGCCATTCTAGGTTGGTCTGCATATATTTTCAACTGGGAATGCCCCACCCCTGAAGATTCTGGGTGGGGCTCAGGATTCCACCTAAGGCCCCACACTCTACCAACACTTAACAAGAAGCTTGCTTTTCTGGGTACAATCTAGACCTCTTTTAGATAATCTAATCTGTTATAGGCTGAAGGCAAGTTTATAAACTTTCTGTAATCATCTTCCTCAGTTATTCTGTCTATCCCACTTAAATGTCTAAATCATACTAGCAAGCAAGAGAACCCATATCCGCTAAGCAGTCAAACATTTTAACATTTCCTGTCCTTTGACCCTTCTGGCTCAAACACTTTTATGCCCACATTCTACACAGCTACATGCTCCTGAGGATGGGAAGCCAAATTTCATTTCTTTTTTCACATAGTTTTTAGCACAATGCCTGATATTTAGTAGGCTCACAATAAAGTATTGTTTGTATCATGATAATGCCTACTCTCACACAGCACCCAAAGCCTGACAAGTATTATGACATTTGTCACTAATGTCATACTTGCAACCTTTCTGAGTTTTGGTGTTGCCTTTCCCCATTTTTCAGACCAGGTAAACAACTTAAGTGCATTAAGTGACTGGCTCAAGATCATGCAACTATTTGAGGATATGGCCATGTGAAACACTGATCTCCAGGCATCCTGGATCTCCCCCATTGCCCTACAAAATCTTAAACCCTCTATCAGTGGTGGCAACACAGTGTAAGAGGGTACCAAGAGACACACTAACAGACTCTGAATGATACCTATAGGTTAACAGACCTATGATTAGTAAGTACACATGCTGGGAGACCTGCTACCCTGGAATTAGACAATAATTCAAATCAGTAACAACAATAAAAGCATTATTTTACTGTATCATTCATGGAATGTTAGTCTCAGGCCCCTAACTTTCCACTCACTGAAAGTCTGCCATGTCAAATGCTCAGACTTGAGCAAAAATGGAAAATAAGACTACAAAGATCATCAATCGTCTGTCAGTTTATCATACTGTGGTGCTTGTATGTTGTTGTGATGCTAAAAGCTA